AAATCCGTTGGAATTTTTTGAATAACTTGTTTAGTTATCACGCAAATTGGTTTTGAATACTGGCCCAAAATATGATCCTGGTACAAAATGGTTTGAGTTGCATAAATAATTTTTGTATATTTATTCTTCATTATTAATTGTTTATTTACAAATAAATTTTTATGAAAATAAAATCAATTTTTTCAAACCTTTGCCATCGTGCCATCAATTATATTTTATGACTATTGATATTATTATTGTCTATTGAATCAGTTTGTAATTTGTGGACAATTTATACATAAATCACCCAAAAGTACAGAAATTTGAAAGATTATTTCAAACCTAAAATCAATATTAACTGAACGTATTGTACGATAAAATATCAAATAATTGGAAAAATGATCGCAATTATAGCCTTTCAATCATAATATCTATTTTTGCCAAATATTTGATGACACATTTTATCCATTATTTATTTATTTATGTGTCAACTAATTCAATATCAAATTTTTGTTAACTTAACATCTATTTTATAAATATTTTTTATTTATTAAGTATATGTTATATCTCTTAGATTCATTATTTATATAATTCAGTTTATTATATGCGATAATATTATCGATTAAATGCTAAAACATTACTTAAAATGAAATATAAATGATTTTGAAGACAATTTATAACACTTTAATGCTTTGCTTTTATTATATAATTTATCATTTCGTATACTTTTCCTACTTATTCTCTATCGCAAAGACTCCATACAAATGTCGTCACATTTTTGAATAATTATCACATTTTATGCCATAAATCATCGTATTTTTTGACAATAAAATACTGTCTCAAGCAATGCATATGTGGTAACAAAAAGTTCAATAGAGTAAAAGCCATTATAATTGCAATAATATGTTAATTATATTGAATAAAAGTCATCCCTCATTGTCTTCAATACATCAAAACTGCAATTCATTACTTTCGATGTCATTATTTTTAAGATTCTTAAAGTAATGAATTGTAGGTTTGATTTCTTAATTTAAAAAGTACTAAATTGTGAAAAGTTTTAATCAAGTATTTCACACAAAACTTTAGAAAAATAATTAGAAAAAATAGTTGAATTAAGTTTTAGTTATATGAAATTGTTGAAAAAAATCTTAAATACTTTAAATTATATTTAAATTTTAATTAAATTATTAAATTAACAGAATTTTTGATTTTGTAATTTATAACTATTACAAACCAAACTATATATTTATAACTCAATATTAATGTCATTGTATTTAAATTGCTTTCGTTTTTACTAATTTAAAATCAAAATACAAATTAAATAATAATTAAAATCCAAATGAAAATATCTATGAATGCAATGAATTTAAGACAAAGTAATGATTGAATAAAAGCAATGGTTTTTTGATTGCATTCAAAATCGGCGCCAATTATTAGATGACTTCATTTCTATTGCGTTATAAACGCCAATACATTGCAATGTTTTGCACAAATATTGTCATATATTTGTAATGTTGATTCCCACCGATGTTAGCCCCTTATAATATGGTCGACAACTTCACTGCAATACAGTGATAATGCAAAAGCATGTACTAAACAGTTGATTAGCGTTGTATGCAATGTAGTGAAGCGAACATTTGAAGGGGCGATAGAGTTGTGTGTATGGGACGAGTGAAGTGAGTGGTTGTGTGGATGTGTTGTCAGTGTTTTGTATCTAATGTTAAAAATTTGTATTTATTTATAAATTGAGTGAAAAATGACTGAAAATATTGTTTTGAAAGACAAAAGAAAAAGTAATTATTATTTTTAATTATGATTTGAATTGCATTTTGTATTTAATATATATTTATATTTCAGTAGTTTTGCTAAAAGTGTCGACAAATGATAAAAATGGCAAAAATAATGGCAATAATATGACTGAAGAGACAAACAATACAAATAACACTACAATTAAAGTGAATAATAATCTCATTATTAATAATAAAAACAATAATAAGGATTTGCGGCGAAAGGCTTGCCATCCGATGAGTGACCCGAAGGGCAAAGCGTTGGCCGCAGTCACCACTCAATTGGCGGCCAACAGATCCAAAGCCATCGCTTCGCCACTCACTCCGGGATTGTCTCACACATCGCATCCACACAACTGTCACACTCTGACCAGACGTGCCGTCAAACAGGCGTTACTTCAACAGCAAAGGCGCCGAAGAAGAAACACTAACACCACTGGTTTCGCCGCCACCGCAGCCGCAGCCGTCCCCTCAGCAGTCACTCGACAGCAGTCAACCATCGGTTCCGCCATTTCTGGCAAAACAAGTGTTGTTAACAACAAAACAGTGACGAGTATTGCCGTCAATGGTATGAAAGAGAAGGCGTTTGTGAACGATATGAAGGACGAAACGGCCAGAAATAACTACATCTCAAGCGTTGACTCTCAGGTGAATAAACTGCTGGAAGGCGTCAAACCCAAGAGAAGTCGAGGCAAAGCGAAGTGCAGTCAATCCTCACAAATGGCTGAACTACGGGAGGGACGGCTCGACCTCTCGTCGCCCGACTCTATACTGGTTCACACGAATCTGAGAGCGCTTTTGAATAAACAGACGTTTATGTCTTTACCGCACTATTATCAGTACAAATTGGTTCAAATGCTACCCAAGTTTGATCAGGTGTTGACACCCGACGGTTGGATTAAACCGAGTTCGTCGGCGCTCAGCAACGAGTTCTTCGCCAAATCGTGTCAGTCATGGCTCGAAAGGCTTTCCGATTCCAAACTCACCGTTGAGTCCATTCAGAGAAGGAAAGTAGACGTCGAGAAAGAGAAGAGCAAATTAGATCCGTTTAAACTGAAGAACTTTGAGCCCATTTGGGGCCAAACGCTGGAATCGCAACGCGACGTCGCCAACGAGTTCGAGCGGATCCCCAAATCCAGACCAAAGGCATCCAATGTCTGTCATTCACAACTAGAATCCGTCCGAAAAGTTCGTAAAAATAAGTTATTATCCGTTAAAAAGTTTAAATCAAACAAAAAAGTGAAACAAACTGTCGAAAAGTCATCAATCGATTCAACGGCAAGTGATTTACCGAATGAGACAACTGTTGTCACGTCTGGCAGTGAAGAAGTGATGGAAACAAATGTCACGACAGAAACCATTGAACAGAACATCGCCGTCGAGGAGACGATTGGCGTTCAAAACGATTGCATTGAAAGCAATGCAACAGAAGCTGAAGCCGTTGTCATCGTTAACAATGTTAGCAGTGAATCGGAACCATTGGCTGCGGTCAGCGATAGTACAACATGTAAACCAAACGCAGTGGTCGTTGTCTCGGATCCGTCGGCAACGCAGACCTCTAACACTATCACCGCTTCCACTAAAAGTGTTAATAAAACCGATATAATAGTGAAAGAGTCTGAGAACGAGTCGAAAGCGAAACGATTGTCTCGTAAGCGAAACGCGACCGCAATTGTCAACAAAGACGGTGTGGACGAAGAGCGCTCTTTCCTCATCTGCAGACGCGCTCTCGAGTCCAGTCCTAACAATAAGTTCTTCTATGTCTCGCGCTGTCGACGAATACATACAGTGGACGGCCCTTCCGTTGTCGTCAATGATCCCAAGACTGACAACAAACTCGAGAAACGCAGTGATAATAACGCACCAAATGTTGAACCGAAGACCACCACCGATACCGACACCAACTCATGCGTGCCTTCAAGTGATTCGGTTGTTAGTAGTGTTTGTCCGACCATTAGTGACACTAAATGTACCTCAACTACCATTAGTACAATACAATGGGCGCCGTCTGTGCAGCACTCCATTAACGATGGCTCGGATCAGATTAACACTAAAGAGAGGTTAACGTCTTGTGCGGAACGGATGACAAGCACTAAAACTGATATTTTGTGCGAAACCGATGCTATTGTCAATTCAAACCAAACTATTGTCGATAACAACAAACAAAACATTGTTGTTATTAATGACAAAACATTATCAAACGAACAGTCAGTTGATAGCAATTTGACAACATTTACCTCTTCTGTCGGTGTCTTATGTAATGATAGGTCCGATAGAGCGAGGAATGAATGCTTAGATGTCTTCGACGACAACGCGTGTGACAAACAGTCCAAACTATACTCAAGTCTAACCAAAAATGTGAGTCATTTTAATATCTCATAATTATTACCGAAAAATATGTTTTGTTGGCCGAAACGGTCAAAGAGGGTGTGAGGGAGAGATTGGTGTGATATACTGTATACGGCAACAGTCTGTGTGTTAATTGTATACAAAACTGTACAACATTTGGTAAATGTGTGGAAGCGATGGCTTTTATTGTTTAAATTTCCGAAAAGTGTTTTTAATAAATATTGCAAACATATGAGAGACCGGATTGTAAAAAGGGTTAAATACACTGTACTTATGTACAAACTTAAGATTATTATTGTAGTATCGTTTTACATGTCGATCCTTCAAATGCTAGTGTTTTTAGGGATGAAAATTTCAGTGCAATTTTACCATCAACATTTCATTTGGGCTAAATTTTTAATAAAAAATTGGAATTTTTACGTTTTTTACGTAAATTTGTTTAATGTGGTGAAATACTGTATACATTAGTCGTAGAGACTTTTCATAGAGATCAAGCGGTGTATAATGTACACATCATTACCGATTAAAACATTTTCCATTTAAAATGATAGCGAAATATATTTCGAGTTTTTAAATATTTTAAATTTATTAAGGATTCTTACAAATTCTGTTATATATTCTATAAAGGTTTTAATTAAAGTATGAATTCTAAAATTCTATACTGTAAAATAATAATGAATTTACAATAAATAAAGTATTGTGTTAAGTATTTAAATAAATTATGCAGTATATTGATAATAGTTGTATATTTAATTAAAATTACACAAATTAGTGATTTATTTAGTAAATATGTGCCATATAGATATCGCTTATTAGTTATTAGCCTAACCGTTTTCTAAATTTAGCCCTAAAGTTTAGGGCCTAAACGTTCCCAAACTTACACCACTTACATCTCTAGGTGTTTTGCATATTGATTACAAATGCATGTAATAGTCGGCTAACGATTGTTTTTTACGACAATCAATGATAGACTAAATTTGAAGGAATATGTTTTATAGGACTCTTGATCTTGTCGTGTGAACGGGTCTACGATAAGAGGTGTGATTCTAACAATTAATTGCAATGTAATTTTGATATTCATTTCAAGTATTTATGACTCCCAAAGTATTTTTATTACAGTATAGTTTATTTTGCTTGAATAAATTATACACATTTCAAACTTCTCACATGTAAAGTGAATATCATATACTGTACAATGAAATTAAGTTTAGAGGAATTGTTTTTGCAAAGTCTCTACACTTTCTAATCCAATAGTAAAATAAAAATCCCTTTTAACCAGAAATAGCACTCTTATAGCGAATGATAATAATATCGTATAAATGGTGATTGAATTGCAATTTTGTGGACACACATGAGTAGCACTGGTTAGACCCTTGAGTCCGGGACCACAAGTGTGAGCCTAGTTTTAAGCCCTACTGTGTAGTTGAATAGTGACTTATTATCAATTATTAAGCCCTCATTTGAATTGTTAATAATATTTTCGTTTGTATTTCAGTGTGACGTGAAAGAGGACACCAAAACCAAAGTGATTAAAGTCCAGTTGCCTTCAGGTGTGAGCGAAAGACTGTCACCAAAACACCTGAATGACCCCCAACTGGTCTCTCAAAGCCCTATAAATAAGCCGACGAATTGTGTGAAGACCACAACCGTAACAAAAGTGATTCCGATTAATACTGAAGCCCTTCAGCGTCTGAAAGCGATGGTGGCGTCGACCATATCCCAAGAGATGAGCTCTTCGATGACTATCACTCCTTCCACTAGTGTTATCGTGTCGTCACCTCAACTCTT